CTCATCCTCTCGCACGTTTTTTTTTTAAAGAATTAAAAAATATAAGGAAAACGCTGATTAATAACGGATTTCCTAATCAATTGTTGGATTTCCACATTAGGCGTTTCCTGCCTAAGGTAGCTAATAGCGACGGCGAGAATAGAAACATAAACAATAATATGAATATTTTTTTATAAAAATCAGATGAACGAAAATTATAAACAGGATGAAAGCAGAATTAAGAACATTATAAAAAAATGTATAACACCAATTGACCATAGCAAAAAATTAGATTAATTATTTATTATAAAAATTTAAAACCTCTAACCTTATAGTTAAAAATAATAATTCACCTCCTAGAACAAAATTAAATAGGGCAAATATTATTTATATATTTAAATGCCCATTAAGCAATTGTATTCCTGATCAAATAATTATATAGGCCACACTACAACATGTTTGGCACGCAGACTCATTCTACACCTTTCTGACCATAGCTCAACTAGGTCTCATTTAAATATTCATGGAGACCTACCGGACACTATTCGTAGCATACTTGTTGACAACACAAATATAATAGCATAATCTACATGAAAAAACAAGGCTAAAAATAATTGAATCCATATTAATAAAAACAAACAAACCGACACTTAATAATATTAACTTCGAACATAGACATAATATCTTGACCATGTTTTGAAACAAAAAAAAATGAAAACATTTTATAAAACATATATACAACAAACTATTTCTAATTTTCACAGGTAAAATATAATCCTTGAAAATGGCTAAATGTATAACCGAAAGCGGTCTGATAAAAAGAACATTCGGGCAATTTTTATGTAATTTATCATCCGGAAAGAAAAAAAATTATTAGATCACATGAGAAAGTGTATAAAAAAAACTAAATAAAAGCACCTTGCCTGTCGTTTTCAATGAAATGTGCATATTATATATATATATATATATATATATATATATATATATATATATATAAGACATAAAATAATTAGGACATTGACCTTCCTCTTATCATCAGGCATTAAAATTAAGTGTTCCATTTCGAAGCTCTCTTTTATACGGAACTGAACTGGCAGAAGTGAGAGAAAAAAAAAAGTAAATAAGGAAGGGAGAAGTAAAACTGGTTTATAAAAATATTCCTACCCAGGATCTTGACTGTAGAAAATTACTTACGTGCTTACAAGCCGTCATAATTTCCGATCTTTCATTCAGTAGCATGTGCTGCTCTGGGTACAGCATAATTGCCAATTTTTCCTCTTGGCATAGTTTGCAAATATTATTCTCGATATTGAATGGCCGTTTTTTCTTCAATATATCCTATTGCATACTGGGTTTTATATCACTTTTTCGACTCCATAATGATCAGAAAATTTCGTGTTGTTTCTATATCTTGCTAGCTTCAATGAAGTTCCGTGATTATAAAAAAAAACAACTTTTTAGCGTTTTGTCTGTGGAACGAATATATGCGCTTTTTTTTAGCCTTTTGTGGGCTCTAAAGTAGCCCTGTATACTACATTCTCTATTTGACAGATCCCCCTTAACGGACAATTAGCCGGATCTACTCTACCCATATCTATATATATTTTTTTTAAATATCCTGTCATTTATTTATTTTTCAATGTTACTCATATAACTGTAAGCACGTTTTACAGTGGTTGTATTGATGAGGAGCGGATGGATCTAAACATGTCTGAAATTTAGAATAAATGCAGGATCCCTATCGATCGAGAAAATAAATAAATCAATCAATAAAAGCAAATATAAAAATAAATTCAGAAAAACTATTATTAACGAAGTTCGTTGATCTGTGAAAGGCGAAATGAATTAACAGACGTTTTTCGATTTTAGCAGATGTCCATGATGGGCAGAAAATTAACCCTGCGAACGTAGCTGGGATGACTTCTTTTGCGTCTAATAAATCATGCCTGGAAATTATCAGATTTCTTTGAGTTAATCATTTCCTATCGAGACCTAATAGTTTGGAAAAATAATCACTACCGCTCGCGAATGCCTGCCAGCAAGACAAATGTATAGAAGGGCGAAAATGTACACTATTTATTATGAAAATATTAACATGTATGTTAGTGTTTTACAGAAAATATGAAATACAAATACCTATTTGCTTCTGTGATTCGCATCGTGTATATTTGTAGGTATTTCATATTTCATTCGGACTCAGTTTAGAGTCATGACTTCGAATGCTGAGCCCCTAAGCAGGTAACCCGAGCCCACTTTGAAAGTTAATGAAGATTTTCTACCGTTATTAAGCGTTATTCCTTAGCAAATAAACCATTGTAGATATCGCTATTGTTTTTTTGCTGTGTTTTATACACACACTCTCTCTCTCTCTCTCTTTCTCTCTCTCTGTGGGGGTATCAGCGTGTATGTATGTATATATATATATATATATATATATATATATATATAACAAATATAAAAAGTGAAATAGAAGTCAACACTTATAGGCGACAGTCTGTTTCATGGTAAGCCACGATTGCATCTAGCATGAAACAGACTGTCGCCTCTAATTGTTGATTTCTATGTTCACTTTTACATTTACACACACACTCTCTCTCTGATTTTGAGCACTTTATCACATAAATATAGCACATACAGACTATATTTCTTCATATATATATATATATATATATATGTGTGTGTGTGTGTGTGTGTCTTGTAATCATTTCACCCCAAGCAAGACAATAAAGCCATTAAAACGTAAGGTATTACTCAGTGTCAACGAATATGACAAAAACCAAAACACTATTAAGGAAAGGGAACAATAAATGAATAAAAATTAAGAAGACCGTAGATAACAATTGACACCGTATTTCAATTTCTGAAGATCAAATTTGACTGGAAAGCAAGAGGCTGGTAGAGATTTCAACACGCGAGGTGTGTTAGTATTGAATTTTCGGCTACATCTATTAATTTCTACAATTCAATTTCGAAATGATGAGACCCAGCTGCTGATCTATTGCTGAACTTCAATTCATAACGTCAAGGTTCCAAAGAGGAAAATAATATTAATTTTGCAAATACCAAAATGTGGCACAAAGCCAAAACAGGGAAGGGTGAAGGCTGGTCTTGAATTATCTTAAACTTAGGTAGCCACAATTACTGACCCAAACATACCATAGGATTCCTTACATGAAATTAACACACTCTTACTTACCATTTTACTATAGCCATTATAATATCTCTATGAATTCCTAACTAGTTCCCATATGTGCAATTTGTCTGCGTGGGGGGAAAAATAGAAAAGCTCATCAGAACAATTACCAAAGAAATAATTATAGAAAATCTACTGAGAATTTACGTTATGGAAAGATATTGTAAGCTGAGATGTCATGTCAAAACCGATAGCAATATAAGAACATAATATGAAATAATATAAATATTATAAAAGTAAAAGCGAAACAAATTATGAAAATGTTTAGATATGAGATTTTACATTATATAAACTGAAGAATTTTCTATACAAAATGATGGATCTAGTCTTATTCGACGGAGTATGTCTAAAGGCGATGCTTAAAAAGAGCCGGAGAATTACACCCTTATGCAAATTAATTGAAAGAAAACGAATACTTCCCTTATTATTTACTTTTTTAAGTATTTTTTCCATTGAAGCCTGATCCAGTGTATATGTTAGTACTTCGTATATCCATTCCACGAAGTTGGTCCTTGCAGATTGACCACAGAGTCTCGATTAGTTTTAAATGAAGAGAGTTTCCAGGCCAATCTATAGTACTTTGATTTCCTCACTGGTAAGGCTTGCCAGTGTCTTCGTGCAGCATTATAATTTTCATACACTTCCTTGGAGTAACGTGTTACGGTTTTTTGGGTATATAATATATGTAACTAGTGAGCGAGTCAAAGTGACTTAATTCCCTTTATAGTCTACTAATAGAAGATTAACCAATCAGGAGCCGCAGAACACTGGATCCGTCGTGTATAAAGGCGGCCATCTTTGTTTTCCTACCGGAATGACCAGAGGCAACTTGTCCGGCGAATATGACAGACGGAAGAACTACGCTCTGCTACTTTGCTGCGATATCCACTGCGAACCTGCACTACGCTTTCCTACTGTCTCCGAAATATTCACTGCCAACTTCTGGATTCTATACTCGAAGACGACCGTCATGAAAATGTCTAACATAACGTCCATGCAGATAATGGCCGGAAGATAATCGACAGTCAAGACAATAGTGTCTGGGCGTGAAAAAAATCTGATACAATCACGGATGACGCAATATTTTTCAAGGCCAAACATATTTTATCATATTACCCAAAGATAGATTCATATTACTGCACACCACTGCAAATGATCTAATCTGAGGAAAAAAATAGAAATTAATTACACCCTGTCATTCCAGTGTGTCTAAAACTGGTCATATGGTGAAACAAAGGAAACTAAAGCGTTTATTTCAAATAATTTGCACAAAGTTGTATGATAGAGGAAATAAAAATGTTGATATTTTCTTGAAATAAATTCTACCTGTTTATAGTGTCCAAAGTAACCAATAAGGTTTGTTACAATTTGCTGCTGGTGTAATCAAAATGTGGCATTATTTCATCCATCCACCTTCGACTCCCTAATCCGGATCAGGGTATTTTTGGATCCGTAGCTTAATAATTATTCGATGATCCCACAATTTAGTTTTCCTTTTCCTAGACTGGCTGTCACACAAGGCAAGCTAGCCCAGCCTCTCCTGCTATTTACTATGTAGCTGGACGAAACGCATTTTCAGCATATCCGTTGATTATATTTTTTTAAAGTAAATGTCTGGATATTTCGAGTGTTCAAAATAAATATAAGCGAATCTATTTGTAATTAATAAGACAATCATCCCAAACGTACCCGACGGGCAAATGCATTAATAACAGACACAGCAGGTCCATCGTACTTGTTACAACTTGCATTACTCATTAAGTCATAGTCAATGAGAAAAAAAAAACAACGATGAAAAAGATTTAATGAAAACTATGCCGACATTTTGTTACATGTATACATTTGGCAAGGAAATCGAGAAAACGTAATGACATGTTTTTCGTTCCTTACGTTTTGAGAGAGAGAGAGAAGAGAGGAATGAGAGAGTAGAGAGAAAAGACAGAGAGAGAGAAAAGTGAAGACAGAGAGAAAAGAGAGAAGAGAAAAGAAAAGACAGAAGAGTGAAGAGAGAGAGAGAGAGAGAGGTGAGACAGTAGAGAAAGACAGAGAGAGAGAGAGAGAGACAGAGAGAGAGAGAGAAAAGACAAAGAAGAAAAGACAGAAGAAAAGTGAAGAGAGAGAGAGAGAGAGAAGAGAGAGGTGAGAGAGTAGAGAGAAAAGACAAAGAGAAGACAGAAGAGTGAAGAGAGAGAAAGAGGAGAGAGAGAAGAGAGAGAGAGGTGGAAGATTTTTTTCTTTCTTTGGACTCATTGCGATGACAAATAAAGAAATGTTTATACGTCAGAAGGAATAATGCCATTTCGGCCTCAGAGGAGCACTTCTTCAAAAAAAATCAGCGATATTCATAGGAGGGGGTGCTGAAAAAGAAATGATTCTAAACAACAAAAAAGGAAAGGATGTTTGTGGTCATTTGGATAGCGTTTTTTGGGTGAGTCTGTCTCATATATGCAAGTCATAAATATATAAACGCCATTCCTTTCAAAACCTCACACTGTCCTCGAAATATTTTATACATTGTGTTTTCTCACATGCCCAAAGAAATCATTTTATCTATTTCTCTCAGGTACTAAAGAACCAAAAATTACTGATCTCCAACGTCTTGGAGAGACACGGTACATAAAAGAAAAAGTAGAAGGAGGAGGAGGAAGAGAAGTAGTGTGAAGAGGAGCAGGAGGTGGAGGAAGAAGAAGAAAAAAGAGTAAAAGAAGAAAGGGAAGAAGAAAGTAGAGGGAGGAGAAGAAGAAAAAGAGAGAGAAGAGACACAGGAAGAGGAAGAAGAAGAAAGAAAAAGTAGAAGATGAATGAGGAGGAGGAGGAAGAGAGTAAGAATCAGGAGCAGGTGGTGGACGTTGCCTCAGTTACCATAGTGCGCAAGCAGATACGCACATGCACACACTCATGTAAACAATCAAAAGATATCAAGAATGAACACTACTATCTCGTAACAACTGTAAATGTTCTTGTCAGAGATGTATAATCATGCTATCTGGCTTTGAGTATTTCGTTGTTAAGTGTTGAATTCTGCTGCTAAAGCAAAGAGGAAATATTTAAATAATCATATCTATAAGCCTATTGTTACGATGAGAAAACGAGGTGAAAGTAGTTCTGGAATCGTATGACTACTTGGGTGCATAGATGTTATTGAGCTGACTACCGATTGGCTGTGTTCCATTAACAAAGCATTGAGCTGTCGGCTTTTATCTATACAAACGTTCGCCTTTACGACAAATACGAGACAACAGAACTGATATTGTAGCAAATAATGTAGATAGCTTTACTCATAGTGAAAATGTTGCGCGGTAGAAAACTTATAACGGGTTGCATAGTCACGGTCGATGCGAATACTCTTACTTACTAATGTCTATCAATGACACCGTCTTTTGTGAACAAGCTTCAGAAGTAGACATTGAGTAACTGAAAAACTATCACTCTATCCGATGAGTTTTCTTGCTTTTGTATAAAAGGGATAGAAGCCAAGTTTGGGTCGTTAGTCTAGGGATGTAATGTTGACAGGTCTGATGATTTTTTGTAGAGGAAAAAAATACTGGGTTTAATCACTCTTTTGTGCATTATTTTACCAAGTAACAACATACAGAGTGCGATGGATAAATTTTCGTCTGAATTAGGCTAAAATAAAAATAACATTGACATCGCATTTTAACAGATATATCTACCAAAATTACACAAAAATATCTTGAAATACTAAAAAGTAAATGTATTCAATAAAATCGCCATTGGCTTCAACCACGGCCTCCAGACGACTTCGGAATCTCTTTCAACTCTTCTGGGCGTTCTCCATGTTTAATTTGCTGAATGCTGACATTATCCTTGTCTTCAGTTCATCTTTGATATTACAAAGAGTTTTGTTACTCTCTCGTGCAATTGAACCCCATGCATAATAATCAAGGGGGTGCAGACTGGGGAGGTAGGTGGCCAGATATAAGGGGTGGTGTGGTCTCAGAAATTGTCTGACAGTCATGACCAGGTTCTACTGATGTGTGACATAGTGCAGAATCAAGTTTCCAGACATAGGGTCTTCCAGCAGCCACCTTCTTGACCCAGGTCAACACTACCTCCTCAAGGCACTTGATGTAGGCTTCCGTGTTAAGTTTGAGTCCCTATGTGAAGATGAATGGCAGCATAATGTCGCCATCACTAGTTATCACTTCAAACACTTTTCTAATCACTATTATTCTCATCTGATTCTTTTCGAATCCTCTGCACTATCCTCAGATTGACGCCCAAACAATTTACATCTGTAATATTTATTTGGTAACATTATTTACTGATAATAGACGTTTTCAAATCAACTAATCCTGCTCTCATAAAATGTCGTCAAATCTTTTATAGATATGTCCACAGTTTATGAGAGAAGGCAGAATACCTCAATTTGAATTTAAAATTTGCTAAAAAGATGAAGAGAATATAAATCTCTCCGTTCTCTTTGTATATACAGGGTACGATAGAAATACCCCCACCGATACCGTCGAGAAATACCTACCACGACAGTAAGAAGTTTTTTTGAGAAGTATATGTTGGGCGTACTTCTACCGAATCCTGTGTTACTTATCAGTCTCGTATATTTAGAAAATTGCAATGTCATAATATTAAAATATATGTCAAGGTTTATGTGGTAGAAGCAAGGATTCAGTCCACTTTTTTGTAATTTAAAAGCAATAACTATTTTAATAACTTCATTCAAAATTAAAGAAGGCAAGTCATATTGGAGTTGTTACATTCATTAGAACAAGGCATTGAACTGAACATAATATGGGAAACTTCTTTTTCAATAGCATTTCTGGGGCTGAGAAATAAGGTATTTTTACTATGACCATTCAATCATTATGATCCTTAAGCGATGTTAATTTTTAAATAGTTTTAAATAAGATAAATAATATTAGTTTGTTCGAATGTCATTTATCACATAGACATTCGAAGAAACACTGAGTCTTTCAAGGCCACAACATTCTTGAGGTCTGTGACGAAAGCTAGAAAGTTTCTGGAGAATTGCTGTCAACAGTCGGTAGCAATAAACAGAAGACATTTGATGTCAACAAGTAAAACACATGAAAAAAAAATAACGATTAAGCCTGGAAAGAGAAAAAAGGCCGCTGAGAGAGAACATAGGAAAGTGAGTGTGGCAATTATTTACTGAGTTAAACTCAGTCTGTATTTATGCCAATGAAAAACCCGCTGCACTAAATCTCGTCTATAAAACTAGTTTCCAAGCTAAATAGTTATTGTGCTATCTAAGGCTAAGGAGGCAAATATCTAAAGAAGCAACAAGAAGGACGAAAGAAGAAAAGGATTGTGAAGAGTGAAACGCAAACTAAATAATACCTATTCGAAAAGAATATTGAAAGAAAGAGAAAAGTGGAAAGATAACGATAAATCAATGGAATTTCCAGTGATATTAACATCTAAAACATCACATGGCTTGGTACTTATCTCACACTGGCGAGGTACACATGTCCCTTCAATTTCTGCTCATCATATTTATTTGTTAGACAAACATCAATATATTTTGTCAGCTATATTTAGATAATGAATAAATCATTATTGCTTGCTTTGCTATTCAGATCACCATTCGAATTTTGAGTGATAACTATAGAAGATTTAAAGTCAAAGTACCTAAAATTCAATTAAATAATAGATTACTCAACTTGTTTAAGTTTTTAATATTACTGGGTAGTATATATATATATATATATATATATATATATATATATATATATATATATATAAAGGCGCTCAGGTTTATATTCAGATTTGTTGAAAATGTGCGTCGTAGAAAAATAATTTTAATTTCTCAAACATCAAGCTATCATTAAAACCCTCATCACCTCATAAAAGCACCCAACTCCGTGATAAATATGTGATATTTAAATCTAAATGCAAGTAAAATTTTCTTTCAAATGAAATTGATTAAACATTAAATCAGATAATCTTCCTCAAATAAAATTTCAGAATGGTATATTTATTTTCTAAATATAAATTAATGAAGAAAATAAATTTGTGCTGAGAGAATTGTAAATATGGCTGATATCAGGTATGTTTAAAGGTAAAAACTTCATTCCAATCAATTTAAATTCGTTTTGAAATACAGCAATGGAAATATTAAATATTATTTATTAGTTTGAAATTAAGAGTAAAATATAAGCTACAAGAATGATATTTTATTTTAAAGACTTCTTATGCCATTTTTACTTAGGTATCATTTTAATTTGGAGATACATATATATATATATATATATATATATATATATATATATATATATATATATATATATATAGATAGATAGATAGGACTTTGAACTTGGAACCCAGAAAATGGGTTTGAAACCTAGTATAACTGTAGAATACACACTTTCGTGTGTCCTTATATATATATATATATATATATATATATATATATATATATATATATATATATATATATATATATATATATATATATAAACGACATATATATATCTCTGTGTTCATCTTTTGCTTGGATTTATTTTCCTTTAGTTCTTTATCTACTACTTCCATTTCTCCTTCATATGACCACTTCATTCTCTCCTGTTTTTCTTCGCTGTCGCGATTTAATTCAAACTCAATAGTATTATATATATATATATATATATATATATATGTGTGTGTGTGTGTGTGTGTGTGTGTGTGTGTGTGTGTGTGTGTGTGTGTGCGCGCGTGTAGTGAGTGCGTGTATGTTAGAATGTTGAACTGATTTCATCTCTAAAACAACCAAAATAATTCTATAGATATTAATCAAAGAACAAATATATTGATTGTATGGATAACGGAATTCGGGTCTCTTCCTGAATTAGAAATGAAAACAGAGCAATTTACATTATAAAATAATGAATAACGAGAAATAAAAAACAAATACGAGAAATGTTTAAAGAAGAACAAGAAATAAAAAAAGGATAACGAGGAAGGATTAAAAAGAAATGATAAAAAAATCATGAAGAACAAGAAACAGATCATTATAAAAGGAGAAATGGTTAACGAGAAATACAGAACATGAAACGTAAAATGGATAACGATTTACGAGAAACGATCAAATAATAACAAGGAATAAGAAACGGATGAGGGGAAATTAAAAACGGGAAAGAGAAACAGGAAACTAGTTAGGCAAAATAGAAAAGGGTTAAAGAGTTGTAAGTAACGAGTAACAAGGAGCGAAGAACGAGACACGAAATCGAATAAAGAGAAACAACAAGGAAATAAAAAGGAAGAAGAATCAGATAATGCAAAAAGAAAAACGACTAACTAGAGACAAAACAGGAGTAAGGA